AGTACTGTCCACCAGGGGGCAGTACTGTCCACCAGGGGGCAGTACTGTCCACCAGGGGGCAGTACTGTCCACCAGGGGGCAGTACTGTCCACCAGGGGGCAGTACAGGTCACTGCTGTCCACCAGGGGGCAGTACTGTCCACCAGGGGGGCAGTACTGTCCACCAGGGGGCAGTACTGTCCACCAGGGGGCAGTACAGGTCAGTGCTGTCCACCAGGGGGCAGTACAGGTCAGTGCTGTCCACCAGGGGGCAGTACAGGCCACTTCTGTCCACCAGGGGGCAGTACTGTCCATCAGGGGGCAGCACAGGTCAGTGCTGTCCACCAGGGGGCAGTACAGGTCAGTGCTGTCCACCAGGGGGCAGTATTCTCTGCCTCCTGTGGGGGTGGTGCTTCAGAGCTCCTTCTTAATGATGTCATCATGTTTTAGGAGGAAGACGAGGTGGCCAAGACAGAAACAGAGGAGAAGAAGAAAATGGATCCCAGTGCAGATGAAGGGACTGTTGGGACGGATGCCAAACATGTTATTGAGTACTGGATTATTTTAATCTGCACAGTTTCACATGAACTTATAATGAAGCTGACATTTCTTCAGATGCAGTAATTCACACAGTGACAGAGAAGAATCCTGCAGACTTCCTCAGTGTACCTGAACAGTGTACCTGAACAGTGTACCTGAACTGTGTACCTGAACTGTGTACCTGTGTTCAGGTCAGCCAAACAAGATGTGGACGATGAATACAGCGTTCCCACGGGTCAGACCTGCTCTCAGTCATATTATGGGGTGGCCCACGCTGTCATCGAGAGGGTGGACAAGCAGTCGAGTCTCCTGATCAACGGCATGCTCAAACAGTATCAGGTACACACGTGCACACAGTTCCATGTGTTTCTGCCATGTTCACAAGCTGTGATCTGGTGTGATACACAAAAAACTCATATCACGACATACATTATGATGGGTGGTGGTAAGCATCATGATATATAACTTATAATAGAAAATAAATCAATCACACAGTGATTGAGTGGAATGTATAAATATGTATGTAAAGTGTTAAATAAGACTGAAGCTGTTCCTCTGCAGTTAGCAGCTYAGCTACATTTACATGGACATAAGGAATGGGATTAAACAGTCATTCAGATTATTTTGATCTGATTCAGCTCAATCTGAATGAATTTGTAATCAGAATGAGACAGGTGGTTTATGCAGATTGATAATCTGAACAGCATGTCAACACTTAATCTGATCATCTTATTCTGATGGTGTAAAACAGACCTGACAGTTCATCCTGTGGAGGGAGGAGCAGCAGCTCACAACTGTTCCTGCACCAGGGGGCAGTATATGATGTATTTTTATTCTGAAAGGCTGTTTAATCTGAGGATTTAATGTAATTGTAGCTCCAGATGCTCAGACATCGTCATGTTTCTGTGTTAAACTGAGACTGCTGCTCAGAAACAGTACATTTCATCTGGACAGTCATCACCTGTCTTCACAGAGCTGTTTCCAACACACTGAGCTGAAAACACCACACAGCCAGATTAAAACTGAGGCGAACAATGATTTACACACAACATCTAAGAGCTGGAGTTTTTACAGAAGAAAGGCAGGAGAAAATGTTTCATTTGACTTGTTGTTCTTTACTTTGTTTTTCTCTCCAAACTGCTTTGACACCTTCCACTGCCACGTCTGCCTTTCTGTCGTTGACAC